GGGTGTCAGCTATGCAAGCTCAACCATCGATAGAGGAATTGATTTTTTCGATTTACTCCATTAATAGCATGCAGTTGAATTTTGCCATTCCGAAATATTCCTAGTTCAGGTTACTTGATGGCCAGGATGGTCAGCCATAACATGTCTTGCGGATGGCTGTAAAAATTTATGGGTAGAGGTTTATTGGTTATATTTTGGGAACTGGTGTCACTGCGATTTAGAAGACTAGTCGATATAAGCATGCCCAGCACTGCCTGTTCAAATACTGATAAGCCGAATCGAAGCTGTCTGCTGAGCCAACATGGAATATTTGGCTTCAGTAGCAAGCAGACGGCTCTGTGTTCGGGTATAATAGCCAAATTCTATTATGCACTATTCTATCACTCACTTCTATGGGTTAACTGCCTTTTTATGGCAGTGTGGTCACAAAGTGAACGGCCACTAACATTCACTGATAAGCTGAACGAATAGGTACTCCCGATCAAGGTTTCTGTAGGTACCTCTGAAGAAGTTGGATATTCTTTCCCCACTACTCGCATTCGAGAAATGAATGAACACCCTACAAATTCGCTCCATTACATGTTAAGCTCCGCCCACACTAGAGAGCCACGCCCTTTGTCTGGAGGGAACGCGCTAAGGTGACATCCTTCTTGGCCGTGTGTAACGACAACCTAAATATCAACATAGATGAAGAATTTTCTTCCCAAAATTAAATGAAACCAATAAAAGCTATGCGTTTCAAGATGTTTTTGAGAACTTCAGAGAATATACAAGGACGGTCGGGGTAATTAACAAGAGAATTCGATCAATGGCGAAGTCCAATACCAGGACAATAGAATAAGCTACGGAGGAATGGGCAAAGAAAAGTCATTTGCATGAATGGCGCCTAAATTACATTAACTGTTGCAGTCACTAAAGTTCTACCTGGCCTCAGCCATAGCCAGGATGAAGATAGCTCTAGCAATCAACAAATGCTCTGAAACGGTGAGAACCAATTGGAATTTGTTGAAAAAGAAAGAAAAACAAATGAAGATTCCTAGAGAATTCGTGTAAACCCCTTCTATTAGATATGTGGCTGAAAGAAAGATAAACTTGTGGTTTGAATTGATTGAAACCGGTCACGAGATAAGCAAAGACTCATTTCCCATGCCGGCGGTCACTTGTTTACTGCCAATTAGATTTTTGTTCAATCTGTGAATTTCATCACTGATACTCATCGTCGGATACTTAAGAAGTCATCATTATACTTACGATTGATAAGACTTCTCAGGTTGAAGCTAGAACACTTTTTGAAGATTTGATTTTTTCGACTAGACCTGGACTGGAGGGCTTGGAACCCTATCAAAGTGTTTATGAAATGATCCTTCCTTTTTCAGGGTACATATGACAGGAACATTACGAAAGAAAAAACGAAGAGTATTGATCTATATAATTGGACAAAAAAAGCCATCGGTATGGGATAGACTGGACGAATGATCCATTAAAAAGCGGAAATGGCTTCTCTGCTCAATACGAATGCAGTCGGAGTGCCATAAAAGCGAACAGCCAATGAAGCCGTCTGTGCAGCTGCAGAAATAGGAAAAAAAGAAATGAAGAAGAGAAGTAAAGCAAAAAATGAGGAGGACATCTGCGATATGAAAAACTAGTCTTTCCTGGTGATTGGAATCCAATTAGGATTGGCTTTTTCACGTGGTGTTCCAAAAACTTCCATGCCTGGGGTGAAATCAAATTGAAACCGCCCACGGACTGCAAAACGCTCTGTTAAGAGGATAAAAACGCGAAGTTGCGTCAGTCGTCGCTGGCGTAAGCCGTGCACGTGAGCTCCACGCTGAGTTTTATTACATCTGAATAGGTAATTGAACTATGTAACAACTTCAAGAGACTGCTATGTGTCCATATTAGTTTACATCCTTAGGAAGATTCTGTCTCTTTGACTCTTGAGAGGGGGGAGGGGGCAGTCTTTGTTTTCTGTTGAAAATCCTGTCCTGATTGAGTAGAACTCTTGCTGGAGTTGGACCCGACTATCGAACCCCTTTGATGCCCTCACAACCTCTCCCCCGTGAGCAGCTTTTGCCACCCACGTCTATCCCAGTCCTCAGTGGGCTTACAGTATTGACGTAGAGGGAGCTTTTCTTTCTTGGTGAAACTAGTTTCTTGTAGAAAAGTTGAAAAGAAGTAAAAAGAAGGACAATGTAATCCGGATCTTGAGGCTTTTATACTATTTCCCTGTCGACTGCGGAAGGGTCGAAACTGCATGGGAAAAAGATCAAACCCGTTTCCCATGCAGTTAGGACCTAACCGCAGTCGACAGGGAAATGCAATAGAAAATTCATGAAACCACGCTTTAAAAGGGTGCTTTGGAGGTAAAAAAAGGTGTAAAAAAATCGATTACATGGATATTTGGAGGGCAAGAGAGAGCAATTTCATTAGAGAGCCATAGCCGCACTCCGACGGTTTTATAGAGTCATGCCAGTGAAATGAGGGAATTAAGAGACAGCGTTGGGAAGCGGGTGGGGAAACATCAGTCGATTTTTTGTATCTTGAGGGCAACCGCACGAACGAACAGTGGGTGAGGATGGCTAGGCATAAGATTATAATGCATTCCATATGTTGCTCTGACTTAGTTGACGGATAATCCCATCATTATACGATTACACTCAGGCTGGAAGTTGTTTTTAATGTCTCAGACGCCATCGCCGTCTTTATTGAGTTGGAGCTGTATAGTCTTATGCTCAATAAATATAAAGTGCAAACATATAAAACGTTCGACTTGGTGCAACTTTTTGAAGTCGCCATGTCTTTAGCTTCCAATCAATATGGCCTTGGTAATTGATTACGTACTTACCTCTTGCAAAGAATCGCATGGTGGTAGATGAACAAGTGAGTCTTATTAATCCGGTATAAATTAGTTAGCCCGAATATATTTCGGACCACAAAGGTTTAACCACAAAGGTTTAACAATGCGGGAGTTTGGAAGAGAACTTACAGGGAACTAAAATGGCTCTAAGAACCAAAATCTCCTCGGGAGTATGCTCTCTCTTGAACTATAAGGGGAGACTGTGTTCCTGCATCGTATAGGTCTTCAATTTATCTTATGTTTACGTGTTGACTGATTTGGCAAAACAACATTACAGTTGAAAGGATTGATGGGAAATCGAGTACATGAAAAGGAGGGACGAAATGGTTGTATTTTTCTATTGAGCTGAATGAAAAAGCCATTTTTGGAAAGATTTCGAAAGAACCAAGTGTGCTTGGCGACCCATTACAGAGCAGCATGGGAAGCAAAAATTGAGGCTGACGCATATGCCCCGGGGCTTCGTCATTCTCGGGCCGCTCATTGCATTCCATTGATTTCCAGTTAAAACAACAGTTCGCGATCGAAATAGTTTCGATGGTTCCCTACTAGCAATTTATGGCCGTTGAGAAGACCGCGTGGGCGTATGAGGCCGAAAAGCTGCTCAGGTAGGGACCAAAAGAGGCTCAAAAACGATTCACGATGCTCACTACAAGGGATACAGGATAGGCCCAGAAGAGGCCGATCTCGTCCGAAATGGAACAGTTTTTCAGTGAAAGTGGTTAGGTGACTTTGTAACGACAAAAACACATGAATCCAGCGCTAAAAAACTTCTTATATGGACGTTACAAAACATTCCAAACTGGTACTGCTACAGTTCGTTGCCCTAAAAAACTAAAAACGAGTGGATCAGCCTGCCAATTCTAGAAACTACAGGATATTGCAGATATCGCAAAAGAGTAGCTGGAGAACCTATGAGTTGGAGCTCAAGCTGACAATTCCGGAGCGAGCATGACATGCAAAAGATGACACCCGAAAAAAGCCTAATTTATTGCGGCGACGCCGGGACACATGTCGCTATGCCTTTCAAACGGCGTTAAGCGTGCCCGCTGCAAAAAAACGTCTTTCAAAAGCTACTCCTCCGTCTGACTCAATAACTTCGACGGGGGCGATGAGTAAAGTTGTACTGAGCAAGCACTGGTTAGGATTAAATAAGCAGGAACGGCTAAAAAAGGTCATTTCTGTCAGAAAGATGTCTTTGCCTAGCTGAAGGAGAAAGACTTATTGCCCGCAAGCCATGGAAAAGGCGGAAGTCCGATTATGGGCACAGCCAAAATAATAGAAAGGGTACGGTATGCAAAAAGGTGAATATTAAGTTTGCCTACCTACAGGAAAAAAGGATTATGTAATTCATATACTATGTGATAAAAAGGTTGGAGTGGATACTCGTCACGTGTAGGGCTCCTAGCTCATTTTTTAAATTTTTTCAGAATTTTTCTACGACTTTTTCTATTTTCTTCTCACCTCAGAGATTTCCCTACATCTTACCTGGCAGAGGTAGATGCTCACAATCAACAAATAAATGAATAACAACTGCATTTCCATCAATCAATCAATCAGAAAACCATAGTATCCCTATGTTCTCCCGTCAGAGCTTGTGGGTTTCGCTAAAGGTCTACGAACTCACCTATGGGAATACTCACTGTCTACCGCATTCCTGTTCAGGGCCACCTACAAGTATCAAATTAGTTTGCGTTGAATTGTATTAAAAGTTTTGCACACAAGAAGATTGTATAATATTTTATCACAAGAGATCACAAGATATTTAATACTTCCAGAAAAGCTTTAAAATTTCAATTACTGCAACGATTTTGTCAGGAAGAAGCGAAACAAGTGCTAATAAGGTTTTAACCTTACCGAATTTGACGTTCAAAATCAGAGTACCCACTTCAATCCAATATTTAGGTGATACTGAATGAGAGTAAAAGGAAATACTTCTCGATACAAGTGGATCCGACATAGAAACAGCGATTAGTTGATAACTGATAAATATTTGAGCCAAATAACTGATAGAAAAATGGTTACAAAAAGGCATCGAAATAGAGCTGTAGGTATATACAACGGTAAACGCTCAGAAATAAGTGAACATAGAGCGCAAGGAGCTTTCAAGCTGTTATTATGTCTACTTAGTATGAGAGGCTTAGCTTCAAAGTCTTTCGATAATCATGTCGTGATCTTCGTTGACGCTAACCCTGCTCTTGTCCTTTGCCCATTCCATTTCAATATCGCCCGCATCACCCATCTCTTTCTCAATCATTGCTTTCTCCTCCATCAAACGCTTCAGTATACTGTCATGAGCATAGATGCGGAATTCCTCCTTAAAATTTGATCACTAAAATTGAAAAAAATTCAAAACAACGGAGTCAATTTCAAAAAAAATAGTCAACCAGGGGTAGAGGTGAAAATCAACAGAGAGAAGTCTTTACTTAGGGTGTTCTCTGAGTCCTGGCTGCTTTATAAGGATGTTGGTTCCTTAAACTCTTCACCAGAGTCGGAAAAAATGTGGAAAACCGCCAAAACGTTAGCCCTCTAAAGGTTACTCGCAAACTTCGTAAAGAGTTTGAAAAAGCAACTCTTTAGCTAATAAAAATACTACGCAAATAGACTAATTAAATGTTTATTGTGATATGTTACCAAAAATCTTGTCTATGTGCCTTATTCGCATAGGACCCTAAGAAGGGACCGTGATTTCATTCACACAGAATGCTGAAATGACCTAGACGTCAAAATTGAAGCCTTCGTTTTTGATCAGGTAAATAAAAGAACCCTGTAAGTGGGTTTCTAGGAAAATTCGGAAAGAAATTCCATCGTCACTCTGCCCCTAATTGTAAGTACTGCCATCTACAAGTTGCCCATGCTCGATATGGATACTAGTTAATCCCAAGGGGTGAAAAGCAGTCAAACTATAGTAGTAAAGCCTCCTAGGTCCAAATTGTTGGACAGTCTCGCCGCTTGCTGCAAAATTAAACACACAACAGGTGGCTATTTACCGAAAATCGAAAGTTTTCAATGGTTATGAAAAAAGGGATAGTTCCTACGATACGGCTGCTTTCCGACGTTTACCTTGTATTATAAAAGCGTAAATACCCACCCGATCACTTTCGTCGCCACTGTGCTCCTTCTCTTCATCGTCATCACCATCTTTCTTTCGATGCATAGCTTTCACTTTGATAATCGTGACATGGTTGTCCTTCTTTTCGACATCACCACCATTTTCGCCATTTTCATCGCCACCACTTTGATTATTTTCACCGGTTTCGGTATCATTGTCGTTTTCATCATTTTTCTCCATCGTTTTTTTCTCCACAGAACCACGATTACTGCGAATTCCAAGACGGGACGAGAACCGGCGTATGACGGCCAATGGACCTGAATAGGTGTATATCACTATGAAATTCCTACTACTGAAAATCATTCATTATCGGTCAACCCCTACCAGATTCCTTTGGCGGCGAATCAGGGTCTTTCATAACCCTAGTAGTGATCGCTCTACATATTAGTGAACGCCACAAATCATCAGGAGTTTCTGGGATTTCTGGCTTACCATTAATGAGAACCCGACCTTCTGGCGTATAACTGAAAAGTTCGAATTCGTAATATTCGGGATTTTACCAAAAATTTTATATTCAAACATCAAAATTCGTTATTATTTATTTTATATTTCTGTATCCATTTTTATTATAGAGTTATGCTGTGTAGAGTTTATGGTTATGTTTGGAGTGATTAAATAGGTTATCGCAAAGGTCTTCGCGGATTTTGAATTTTTCTCGTATTTGTTTCTTTTTCTTCACAACAGCTGACAAATAAAAAGTATGTGGTATGAATATGGCGGATCAGAATATCCTAAACTTTGAATTTTGCTGGATCTCATTCGCTATGTGCGGGCGCGCTTGTCATGAGCAAAGTAGACTTTCAGCTATTCTTCTCATGGAACTGCAGCAACGCGATTCACTGAGCACAGTAGACTCCGGTGGTGACAGTGAAATTTGGTGGCAGCAACTCCCATGAACGATCCCCTTCGTATTCCTGCAATCGCAATACGTTCCTATGTTCGAGTTCTGGTTTGAGAGTCGCAATTTCTACGCCCTTCTGATCCGAGCCACATCGAGACCCACTTCCCGTCACAAGTGACTTCCTATACCAAGATACGTCAGAAAGTCAACAAATTCAGGCATGGATCCCTCTGAGTTTGGAGGTGTGACCACTCTGATCACGAGGATTCCCTACGCCGTATCTTTAGCCTCGCTAGACGATACACCTGGGCAGCTAGTACTGAACTGCGATGTTTATTGAGCTCCTGTGCTACCTTGCCGGTTTCGAACCAGCTTCAAAAAATGGGCCTTCAGCTGCTCTTCTTGTAAAGCGTCATTGAGCTCAACTGTCTCCAAATTCGTGGTGTTTCAATCAAGTCAAAGTGACCATTTCCGAACTTGTGAAAGCAATTTCTTGCCGTGTTGTAAGAGGTAGTGAAGTGACATCGAGCCACATATGACCCTTGTTGCACGATTGGGATTGACGTTTTTTTCTGAGCTTGTAATGCAGGGGCAGTCTAACTTTCAAAAGCGATTCTCTCAGCCATAACCGTTGCGAAATGTTCGGCAGATACAGTGCGAAGAGTGCATAGACCTGCAGTTGCATATGTTTCACAGTGAAGGTTCAAACGCATTCGCAAATATTTCACAACGTGGAAACGGAAATGTGCAAAAACTACCGTTGTTCACTAAGGAGACAGCGAAACCCTGACACCATTACTCATTCCGAGGTAAGAAATCCTAAGGTGTTCCCACATTATTAAGGTCACAGAATAGTTGATGCTATCTACTTCTTCGGAATTACCGGTGCAGTAAAACATTTTCTTTCAACCTTTACATCTATAATTGATAGCTCAGTTCCTCGCTAATCAAGTTTAGGGTGGACGGTTAGAGTAGGTTTTGAGCGTTGAAATATTCTTCCGTCCTCCCCTGAACTTGAAAACGAATTCCTAAAAATATCCGGAGCCCTCTGTCGATGTGGGATCAAAATAAGATAGGTATCTAGGAAACATATTTAACGACAAAGAAAAAAGGTCTGAAAAATTCGACTTGGTCTAATAAAGTAGCAAATTGTATCGTCGATGACTGTTTGATGAGGCTCAATATGACCTTGGATTCTGCCATTTTCGAGTAATCATTTAACTGATCAATTGATCGATAGTTTTTCAATACTACTCATAATATTGATAATCAGGTAGGTATTCACCGATCAATTCATTAATTCTTTTTTGATAATTTGATCTTGAAAAATTAGCAAAATAGATAAAGTGGCAGTTCTAGAAAAATCTTTGCTTACGTTCTGCTATCCTTCGAGGTTTTATGCTGATATAGAGAACTTTGACGATTGCTTGCGTAGAACTCAACCGACGAATCGGAACCGCAATTCATAATCCCGATCATTGTTTATCTGGAAATAATCGATTGTAAACCAATCCGATGAATAACGGGCTGAGACTTCGGCGGATGTGAGAAACTGGCTTTTCAAGAAAGGATACATGAGGACCTCAGAAATGTTCTGCGAGATGACATTCCTAGAGTATTATTGAGTAGCATTCTTATAAAAGGAAGAAAAGCATGCGCGGTTGAAGAAACCTCTTATTGAGTGAGAGCGAACAGAGATATTATCGGAAAAACGGAAAACTAAGATGATATAGCTGCTAGCAATAAGTTAAAGAGAATGGAATGATTGGGAAAGTTGGCGGTGGATCCAAAATAATCGAAATAATTAGGGAGCGATTCTTAGTGATAGGCAGGCTTCAGGAGTGGCTCCAGCACCCTAAGAGTATCAGAGTATCTGTTCAAGGAAGGTTATGGCGCGCCTCTTCATAGCACCTTGTTCGTTCGCTGAAGAAGAGCCATTTCGGCCAAATTCCCCGACAGTTCTAACCTGAATGACCTTTCAGGGCATGCGGTATTAGCAAACTGCAAAATTAAGTCAGTGAGTGAAGATGTTTGTATAGAAAATTCGTAGGTGGCGAATAATCACGGGCTAGTGGTAATTTATTACTATTGAGAACCGGTTCAAGGAATGGGGGGTGAGCAGCGTTACTGCGTATTCGACATCCACACACTGCTGTTAACATTTGGAACAAGTTCGGCCTTAATTGACTGAGATCGTAAAACAGAAGGTTCGAGACGTCTGATTGTGAGCAGAATTCG